AGAACGATGACTCTGCCGACGTATTCTCACGACAGCTACTGGACATTGGGAACGGAAAGCTGCCAGTCAACAAGACGTCGAGAAAAATAGTATTGCCCGAGAATTTCTCTAATTTAGTTACATAGAAGGAAGAACTTATCCAAAAAGTGTTCCCCGATATCCGAATAAATTATAGGAATCACGATTGGCTCAGTGGACGAGCTATTCTCGCTGCCAAGAACAAAGATGTCTACCAGCTCAATCATGTAATCCAATCCAGCATAGAAACTGACGAAATTACATATAAGTCGATAGATACCGTTGTGGAGGCAGAGGAAGCAGTTAATTACCCTACGGAATTTCTAAACTCACTTGATCTGCCTGGAATGCCACCACACATATTGAAATTAAAAATAGATGTGCCGATTATCATGCTCCGGAATATAAATCAGCCGAAACTCTGCAACGGTACGCGACTTGCAGTCAAGTAATTGATGAACAAGCAACGATTATAACTGATCCTTTCAAAGGTGAAGATGTTCTCATTCCTAGGATTCCTCTGATCCCGATTGATACACCGTTTGAGTTCAAGAGATTGCAGTTTTCCATTCGTTTGGCGTTCGCAATGACCATTAATAAAGCTCAAGGTCAATCTATGGAGTTGTGTGGTCTAGATTTGGATGCAGATTGTTTTTCACACGGATAATTATATGTTGCGTGTTCCCGTGTCGGAAAACCAGATAGTCTTTATATTTACGCGGAGATTGGAGAAACGAAGAATATTGTATACCCACAAGTATTACAGAATTAAATTAATTTGAAAATTATTTTTTTTATTTGACTTATTTCTTATGCGTGCAACCACAATATGCCACAGAGAAACGTGGCAGGGTACAGCTAGTATATTATACATGTGTACATGTACATACCCTGCAGTACCAGTCATAAGTAATTCATCAACGTTTCAGTAACAGTCAAGGCGGTGTTCTTGATGATTCATCGATGAATGGCCATACAAACTGTTGGTGAATTTAACATGGGCATGTTCTAGGCTGTCATCAACCAAAATTCATCAACAATTCATCGATGATTATTCAACAATTCATTATCAATTCATCGATGATTCATCGACAAATTCATCGATATTTCATCAACAATTCATCGATGTTTCATTAACGGCCGGGCCATGGTACTGCCGACGATTGCCGTCTAGGCTACCGTCGTAACTGTAACTACAGTACCACATGTCATCAATAGGCCACTGTCATAAAAAATTCGCGCTCTTATTTGCTCTCGGTTGAAGAAAGTATGATGAAACGTCGAAACACATAGGCCTCCCATTAGTAAAAATTAGCACGTATGTAGATTCCCTTGCACTCTCCCTTTCTCAATAATAAAAGCGGGGTGGGTGGTATACAATTAACAGGGAATTATTTTTTTCAAGTGGAAATAAGAGGCCTGAAGTGTTGATTAATTGTGGACAAATCGTTGATGAATTGTTGATGAATCATTCACGAATTGTTGATGAATCTTTGATTAATTGATGATGAATCATTGATTAATTGTTGTTAACAGTTTAGGACATGCCTATGTTAAATTCATCAGTAATTTGTTTCAACATTCATTAATGATTCATCAACAACACCGCCTTGGCTAATGATGAATTGTTTATGAATTACTGATGAATGGTACTGCAGAGTACTTTAATTATAGTCACGTTATATGTACGTTTTCTATTTACAGTATCACAGTTAAAGTTTTACACTGACGGTATTTTCCTTTACATTTAACGATAGTTTCTATGGCAGCTATATGATATAGTCTCCCGATTTAAAAAAATATATTAAAACAAAAATTCAAGATTAATATAAAATGGACAAATAAAAAGATTAATCCAAAAAGTTTAAAACTGTAAAAGATAAAATTTAATTGTATTAATATATCGATCGTTCCTATGGCAGCTTTATGATATAGAAGTCCGATACTAGAATTAAAAGCGAATTTTTAGAATTATACAAAATGGCTATATACTTAATTTGATGAAAACTGGAAAAGTTATAATTTTTGTTTTAAAAATTTTCCGATCGTTCCAATGGCAGCTTTATTACATACCTACATAGTCGTCCGATCCGTCCCGTTCCGACATATATGTATATGAGTGAGAGTATATCAATTATATAGCTACAACACTGAGAGACTAGCTGGCGTAGAAATAGACAAACGGACATGGTTAGTTCGACTCGGTTGTTGATGCTGATCAAGAATATGTACATATATTTTATGTGGTCGCAGGTGACACCTTCACTGCGCTGCAAACTTCTAGCTGAAGTTAAAATACCCTGCAAGGGTATTATAAAAGTATATAAAAATATGTTGAAGCCCGGCAAAGTAATACATTTTTCTGAAAATATTTCAATCATTCCTATCGCAGATATGCCGTATGCGAATTTTCCTTTTTCGACTCATGTACATATTATTATTGTAAGTGGGTCAGGTCAGGTCAAAAGTCACTCGGTAAACTTTCAACCAAAACACAGTCTCAAAACGGGAATATTCTTCTTCATTCTTCTGTACAATCTTTTATGATTTTAGACTACCATTTGGTTAGCTGTCCAAAACCTTAATTTATTTGAAATTGGTAGCCACACTTCTTCATTCTTTTGTACAATCTTTAATTATTTTATACTACCATTTGGTTAGCTGTCCAAAACCTTAATTTATATGAAATTGGTTGCCACACTGAATTTTTAGTCATTCAGCGAGCTTGATGTCGCTGATTTTAGCTTCTGATACTTTTCCTTGAAAAAAGAGTGTCTAAAATTACTTTTTCACTGCTTGGAAAACTTTTGAATAAAATTAAAATCTCCTGCAGGGGTATACAAAATCATTTATAAGTAAAATAACGAATTTTTGTTGGCTTTCTTTGGCCCTTATTATTAACTCAATTGATTAATCACTTTTATGATTTAATTGTTTGTTACAATAAACGATTTATGCCGATGCATTGGTTGAACATTGACTTTTAAATGGTATGAAGTGGATTAGAAATTCGACTAGACATTGTACAACATCTTTGTTGTCAACTGTCAATCGACCTGATCGCTATTTTTCCTGATATATTTTTTTTAATTTCATTGAAATATGTATTTTTCCGGCCGAAATTGGTCTTTCTCTTTATCAGACCTGGTTATTATAATTATTTGCAATATTACAGACACACAAATAAGATATAGTTTGAACTGTTATGGAAATTACCAATGTCTAACAGTTGAATGGATATCATATCATATATATACTGACGATTTGTTATTAAACATATACATACATTGTTTTTCAAATTCATTGGAAAAATGTGCATAGTACACTCCTCTCCTCCTTTTTATAACCTTGCAGGGTATTATAATTTCAGTTAGAAATTTTTTACCGTAAATTTCACATAAAGTTAATATTTTCTATATCAGCATCAACAGCCGAATCGATCTCGCCATGTCCGTTCTATCCGTCCGTTTCTACGCAAGCAAGTCTCTTAGTTTTCAACCTATTTGAATGAAACTTTGATATTCTATACACTCTCTTTCGTAGATAAGTTAAAACGGGCCGGATCAAAGGACCATATCATATAAGATCGATCGGAAAATTTAAAAAATAAATGATAACTACTGATTTATTTAAAATTTGAGATTTAGCCATTTTGTATTATTCTAGTAGTTATTGTAGTTAATTTTATAATAACAACATATAGCTGACATAGGAACGATCCAGAAATTAATAAAATCAAAACCTTTAACTTTATTAGTTTTCTAAATATATTCATAAAATAGATATAGCCACTCTGTATTGTTCTGGAATGTTAGTTTTAATTTTATGAAAATTTAAGTCCTATGTATATATATATATATCTTTAAATATATATGAAAATGCCAAACTGTGGTCAAATTGCGATCTGCAACGGTATACAAACATCGGCGTACAAAATTTAGTTTCCATTCTTGTTATTTGTATTATAAATTAAAGAAGAGGGATTTTTTGGAAAGACTGTTAACACGCATAAAATATTAAACTATATTTAACGGGTTAGACCCCCCTTAAAATTTTTGAAAAAAAAAAACAATTTTAATGATTTTGATGCCAATATCTTTAACATTTCAAGACATCGGGCTTAAAGTCATTAAAAGTAAGAGCTGCAGGTATACCTTAGAGTACTTTTTTTTTATCTTCTTTTGCGTATTGTTCAAAATTACATTTTTTAAATCGGTGTACATGATTTCTCAAAAACTGCTGCACAGCTTCTCTATACCGTTCTCTCTGGAAAGGTGTAGGATTTTTTTGAGATGATTTTTAATTAAAGTTATACATTTTTATATATTCTAAAAAAAAATTGTTTTTGGATCTTAGATAAAAAATGTGCTCTGCAGCATTTAAATCATACGTGCGCTAAAAAACAGTGCCTGATTTAATTGGCTACATCTCCGCCATTTCTAAATATTTTATTTCTTCCAAAAACTTTTTTTAGTTCAACATATGTTCTTTGATATTCCAATCAATAAAAAGTTTTACTTTTAATAACTTTGTCAAAATATTTTTTAAAAACCCTTAAATTTTCAGGTGTTTATGTGGTAACCCCTTGAAAAAAATAAAAGGGCGAAAGCGGGGTTTTTAGGCAATTTTAGCTTAACATTTTAATGCGTGTAAATAATTAGGTAAGCCTTGCTTTATAGCAACGATTGGCTTATACTTTATTATGTTGTATTACAACTTTACTGCTCTATTTCCTATATTTAATTTAATCGTAACTCAAGATTTTTTACAAATCTTGACTTCCTCCACTTAAAACGGAATAAGCTGCACTTATTTAAAAATACATCACACATCAAAATTTAACTTTTCTTGCAAACGGAGGGACACTTACTTATTTATATACAATATTAAAATTTGTTTTTATTTTCACAATGGCTTTAATTTAGGATATAGGTTTAAATTCTCTGTTTTTGTAAATGGTAAGATAAATTATTTACACTCACTTAATGTGATATTCGTAAAAAAAGTCTTTAATTATCTCGAAATGACTGATTTAATACTTGATTTTGAAGACAAAATATTTATTGGCAAATCATTAAACATCTGATTCTTATTTCTTCAGCACAATATAAGTATGTATGTAAATTTCGACACATATAAGCCTACGATAGAGAATTTATTATGAATATCCACTCGACACGATTCCGTCAAATGAAATAAGAGGTCTGAACAGTACTGACGAGTACTCCTCAGATGGCTTCTGGATAGCCCTCGAATAAGTTTTTCCTATTAACGATGACTTTGTGCTGTGTTTGGTACTGGCTACACACTTAGTTGAACAAAACAAACATGAAATATTGCTTATTCATTTTACTTCAACCAGCCAATGCCAGCTCGAGAAATGTAGAGGGCTGGGCTGAAAACCAGGTCGGCACAAGGTTACAGTTCGACACAACTCTACAGTTCGCTGTAGCTCAGCTCATTCGCTCACATTCGTATCGTCCCTTTCACACTCCAGATGTTAGCATATTTTAATGTGTCAAAATGAGACAACTATATTCGGTTTCTCGTTAAATTTTCAGGTATATGGTAAATGGTTAAACCCTCCAGAGTGAACCACCAATAGGAAGGATGATGCTATTTCAACCCCCGTATCTCTTTTAGGCAAAGATTTCAAAATAGTTCCTTCTTCTGAAGTGCTTTCACAGCGCTTATAACAAATAAACTGCTAGCTAAGCTCCTATTTTCACACAATATAAATAAGCGAAATCGTACTTTATAAGTCATGTTTCGATATTAATTTTTCGTTTACTAGATTTGTTATGCATATATACATTCTTTTGTTTTGATCTGACAAAGTATGATTTAAAATTATGATATTTGTTTCAGTTTCGATTTTTTTTAATAAGTGAATATTCTTTTAAAGTTTTAATTGTGTATCTCAAGTTGTGCATCACTGGATTCAATCAATAATTGTTGAATATAAAAATAAAATCAAGAAAGGGAGCTAACTTCGGCACGCTGAAGTTTATATACCCTTGCAGATAAAACTTCGATGACTAGGAATTAATACAATATAAATTATATATGTATATTTATGTTAAAAAACAATGAAGTAATACCTGCTTTCATTTCATTCAACTATTCATGTTGAAAGCTGAAAAAGTTTTAATTTTTAATTACATTAATTTATCGATCGTTCCTATGTGAGCTATATATAGTAGTAGTAGTAGTAGTAGTAGTAGTAGTAGTAGTAGTAGTAGTAGTAGTAGTAGTAGTAGTAGTAGTAGTAGTAGTAGTAGTAGTAGTAGTAGTAGTAGTAGTAGTCGTAATAATATAGTAGTCTGATTTTCGTAAAACTTAAAAAAAAAATGTTAGAATATTATAAAATGGCTATATCTCAAATTTGATCAAATTCAGTTAAAAACTGAAAATGGTATAATTTTTCCAAACATTCCTATGGCAACTATATGATATAGTCGTCCGATCCGACCCGTTCCAACGTATTAACGAGTGAGAGTATATAGAATCTAACTACAAAGTTTCATTCAAATAGCTTCAAAACTGAGAGACTAGTTTGCGTAGAAACGACAGACGGACAAACGGACATGGCTAGATCTACTCGGCTGTTGATGTTGAACAAGAACATACATACATATATACTTTATGGTCGGATTCTTTATTCTGACTGAAATTATAATACCCTGCAAGGGTATAACAAGACAGGAAGTTAACTTCTGCTCGCGAAAATTTGTAGATTATGAATAGTTATGGTAGTATATAATAGAATGTATTTATGTTGAAAACAACAAAGTAATGCCTACTTTCGTTACATTCACCTATACATACATTCACAGTTTTGAATTTGTCTCAACGAACGCAGTATTTATCAAATTACATAGATGAAAATTTCTTGAAAACTCGAAAAGTAATATTTTTATAAAATTTTTTATAAATACCATGTATTTTTACAGATTTTCATTCACAGTTTGGCATTTTTCTCTACATCTAGAATAAGATAAAATGAACATTTCTCAAAATAAATAAATAAAAATGTTGTATGAAAACTGATAGACTATAGTTTGCGTAGAACCGGACATACGGACATTGCTGGATTGACTCTGTTGTTGATTTTGATCAAAAATATATACTTTATATGGTCGGAGATGAATCCCTTACTGCTCTGAAAACTTTTGACTAAAATAATGTTGCTCTGGAAGGGTATAACAAGGAAGAAGAAAGCTATCTTCGGCACGCCGAAGTTTATATACCCTATATATGCCGGAGCGGACAACTATATAATACAGTCGAGTCCCGATAATTCGAAATGGCAAGGGAATCACTTTTTTTACGAATTAGACGGGAATTCGATTTATCGAGATTTCTATTTAAAGGGGCTCAAAAATGAAAGAGTCGAATAACCGGGGTTTTTACATTTGTTTATTAAAATCAAACAAACATTATAAGTATGTACATTCATTTGTACGTTTTTCAAATTAAAGGAAAATTAAACAATAACATAAAATTAGAATAAAAAAAATTGAACAATTAAGCAGGAACATTAAATTATAAAAAACAAAAATTCAAGCCTTAAAATAATAGCTGTCTGAAAAATCTAACCTACAAAAAATTTCGCATTGCATTACGATTTATAAGAGGTTACGAAACAAAATTACGATTTATAAGAGATTCAATATTCTTTGCGTTGCGCCAAATAATACGAATTAACGAGGGGACCAAAATGTATGGAATTTTTACGAATTAACGAGTTTTTTTCAAGGGGACAGAATTTTTTACGAATTATCGCGATTTTCGATTTAGCGGGGTACGAATTATCGGGACTCGACTGTATAGATGCCATAGGAACAATCGAAATAATTGTTCCACTTTTCTACAGATTTTCATTTTATTTAAGCCATTTTCATTTTGTATTATTCTAGAATTTCGCTTTTAATTTTCTGAACATCGGACGACGTTCGTTATATGGGCAATTCTCGCGCGGCCAAAAACTTAAAATTGCTTAAAAACGAGTATTTTTAACATGGTTACATAAAAAACTGGTCAGATTGATCAAGACTAAGAGAATTTTTCATTTTCTAAAATAAACTTTAAAAAATCGATGTCAAACACGCGCAAACGCAAATAATCTCGTTTTTATAAAAAAAAGTCAAAAAATGTTTTATTTTGATGTCAATCTCTTAAACAAAAGCATTTTGCATTTACTTTTGCTTTCTAATATCACATAGAAAACCCAAAGAGTCAATAAAAAGTGCAAAAGGACAAATGCGATCACCAATATTCGTACAGCTTTAGTTTGAATTATCGCTTTTCAAACTGTCGCGTGCGACCGGGACTAAAATTGAATTTAAAAAATATCTACTTAATATTTTAAAATCAAACAAAATACATTATTAAGATAATTCATTGCATAATTCATTAAAACTTATTGTACTAAAATTTGTCATCACGTTTCGCTGAAACCAGAGACTATACTGGTTTCTTGCAAATGTAGCTTCTGTTTTTGTCGCGTGAGAACGCAGGACATTTTAGTGAATATCTTGGAAATGACCAAGGATTCAAAATCGACCTTAGCACCAATTATAGTGCTAACCAAGAGCTATACATTTAAATTTTTGTTAAATTAAAATTAAGTCGGTACATGTTTTTTTTTTAAATGCAAAAAAAAAAAAAAATGCAAAACTATGAATGTAAAACTTTAAATACAATGTTTAAAGGTGAATAATATGAAAAAAGGCATTACTTGTTTTTTTTTTAATAATATATATAATTTATATTGTATTAATTACTAGTGATCCAATTTCAATCTGCAAGGATATACATACAATCGTCGGCGTGCTGAAGTTTTCTTATTTTCCTGTTTTTCATTATAAATATTTGTTGTCCATTGGAGTAATCATAATCATGTTTTGAAGAGTTGACCGCTCAGTTTGCGACGCAGTAACGGCAATATAATATAAAGTATACACAGGTACATTTTCTTCATCGCTATTACCAGAGTCGAACTGGTCATTGCCGTTCGTTTCGACGGAAAGTACATAGTCTCTTAGATGTAGAGGTATCTGAATGAATCTTTGTAGATTGGCTTTCATTTTATCGCAGATAGAAATTTTACCTTGTGGTTTTTCAACATATTTCCATGTACAAACATACATATATAATTCAAGATATGGATATGAATAGAGGAGTTTTCCCACAAGCTCGAACAGAGAAAAATATGACGCTAAAAAGTGTTCAACATTTATCCCATTAACGTTGTATTGATATTTGTTTTAAATCAAATTACAATAGCAGAGTATTATTGCTATAACTTGAAGAGTATATAAACTTCGGGTTGCCGAAGTGGTTTTCATTTCTTATTTTTATATTACAATAACAAATTTTATAAATTTATCGAAGTACACGACAGTTTATATTCAGCTTTATTATTATTTTATTATTTATCTTTAGGTATTTTAAATGTAAAAATTATAAATGATGGCTACCTCAATTAACTTCGTTAAAGCATTTTGCAGGATTTAAATTATAACTTTCGAACTTCAACTTTCTGTATAGTCTGTAAGGGTGCTATTTTTATTCGACAAAAAATTAAAATAATGATAAAAAAAGTTTTTTTTTTTACTTTATTTAGGAAATATAATGTTTTGAAGATGGTCGGAACTATTTTTGTACGGATGTTTTCACAGTCAAGCTCAGTCAGCTCGGCTATTTAATTGGAATCTAAATGAGCACATTTCTGCTCCCGGTGCTCTTTCCGTTATGAGTTTCGGGAGCCGTTAGTAAGTCGTCCCAGACTCCTAATTTTCCAAATAATAGAGGTATAACTTTTCAACCATAAGAGCAACCGACAAGAATTGAATTCATAAACAGATTTTAACTTAAGTAATGTATTTTTATTCCCTTGCAGGGCATTATAATTTCAGTTAGAAGTTTGCAACGCAGTGGAGGGACCTCCGGCCATATAAAGTATGTATGTATTATTTATTAACGTACTAAAAACTATTTAAATTTAAACAAAAACAGAACAAATTTTATGAAACAAAATTCTTGGCATACTTAATCTAATTTTTATTTTTTTTTTTATTTAAAATAACAATTAATATTTTGTCGGTAGTCCTTTCTGTTTAATCACGTCTGCAAAACGTCTGGGCATAGAATGCACCAATTTTTTTTAGTAACTTCTGCTAAAATATTCAGC